TGTAAGTCTTCCAACCTTCTAAATATTCCTTTATATGTGGTTCAGAGTTCTGGGACCATCCCCTGAGCCTGCTTGGTCCTATATTCTGTGTTGTTTCCGGCAGAGCTCGTCATTGCACTTCCAACCGACCCGCCATCTTGTTTGTTCTCCTAAATTTACTTTTTAAAGCTACTCACTTGCAGTATTTCTGTTAACAGCAGTACTTGCAAACTAAGGCAGTACCATGGTGTTGTTGGTGGTGGTTATGTGTCGTGGAGTCAGTTTCTGACTCATAGTGACCCTGTGTAGGGTTCCAAAGCTGTAAATTTTTGCAGGAGCAGAAAGCCTCATCTTTCTCCTGAGAAACTGCTGGTAGTTTCTAACTTATAACCTTGGGGTTAGGAGCCTAACTTCTACCAGAGCTCCTTAAGTCATTCTCTTAAAGGGATTATGAAGATACATAATTGCTTCCAGTACGTCACTGCTCAGAGAGTAGAGCTGTTGTGAGTGCCATGGAGTCAGTTCTAACTTATAGCCAGTGACTCATGGGGCCTCTGAGGTTTTCAATCTTGGCAGGAGCAGAAAGCCTCTGTCTTCTCCCTCAAAGCTTCTGGCAGGCTATTGCTGCGGATCTTGTGGTTTGCAGTCCAGTACTTGTTGTTGTTAAATGCTGTTGAGTCGATTCCGATTCATAGTGACCCTGAACAGGGTTTCCGAGGCTGTAAATCTTTACAGGAGCAGAAAGCCTCATCTTTCTCCTGCGGAACAGCTGGTAGTTTCAAACTGCTGATCCTGAGGTTGCCAGCCTGATTCATAACCACTATGTTACATTTGGCAGTGAAGTGTGGGCCTGTTTGTGTGTCTTAAATGGGAGTCACTCAAGAAAAAGTAGCCTCACTATGGCAGTCACTTTTCAAGCATGCTGGATTGTAGAGTGTTGTTGCTAAGTGTCACCGAGTCAATTCTGACTCAGTGACCCTGGATAGGGTTTCTGAATAGCAGCGGGTGAGCTTGAACCATCAACCTTGCAGATCAAACTGACTTTGCAGTCCAGCCCACAGTACTGCACCAGGACTCCTGAGATGTAGAGTAGGATGTGGTGTCAATTGAATGCTATGGCGGTAAATACTACAAGAATTCAGAGGAGGGAGAATTGATCACGCAGCCAGGGATAATTGAAGAGGCTTCCTAAGGATGATGACTTGAAGTACGTATTTAAAGTGAAATAGTGTTCAAATTGAGGCACCCTCATGTTGCTGTGGTTAAAACGCTCAGCTGCTAACTGAAAGTCAGTGATTCAAACCCACTAGCCACTCCATGGGAGACGTGTGACAATCTGCTTCTGAAATGTTACAGCTTTGGAGACACTATCAAGCACATCTCTGTCCTATGAAGTCGCTAAGAGAATCAACTGGACAGCAACAAATTTGGTTTTTTTGGTATTGTTCACGTACACAGAGATGATAATTGATCCATCAACATCAAGTCTTTATAAGGAATGGACCAGAGAAGATTGTATGCCTTGCGTTATGTGGCATATTCAACTTCATAAATCTGTCAAATATTCCTAATTTAGTTTATAAAGTTAGCATTATTTTAGTAGTAGAGATTTTTGAGTGAAGCTGATTCTAAAACACATAGAATAATAAATATACTTTGAAAAATAAAGTTAATTGACAGGGTATCTAACTCTAGTAGATATTAAACCATATTAAAATTATGTTGCTAGCACTTGAATAGCTAACCATATCAATGGTACAGGATACAGAGTCTTGAAATATGTCAGTTTTTTAAAGAATTTAGTGAAAGAAGCAATTCTTCATATATGCAGACATTCAGGAAGTATTTATAAGCACTAACTATCAGGTACTCTGTTGGAGCTGGAGACACAGTGGTGAACAAAATCAATATGGTTCCTGCCTTTTGGGAATTTACTGTTGGGTTGGAAGACCAATGTGAAATAAATACATAGAAGCGAGCTTGTTTTCTTCCCTTTGATCTCTCGGAAAAGTATTATGATATAGCTTGCAAGGTCCAGAAGAGTTAGGACTTTTCTTTGAATCTCATTGTATATTAACATTATGTTGTGTTGTTGAGTGCCGTCTTGTCAGTTCCGACCCATGGCAACCCTGTATAGGGTTCCGAGGAACAGCTGGTGAGCTTAGAACTGCAGTTGACCTTGTGGTTCAAACGACTTTGCAGTCCAGTCCATTAATCCACAGTGCCACACCAGGTCTTAAATAAATGGCTGATGGAATATCTAATTTTAAGTACACATTTCTTGTTTCTTTCTCTCTGACAGAGTTTTGAAGGGAATCTTGCGCCCGAAGAATGTTTTTCCCCTTTGGATCTGTTTAACAAAATCCAAGAACAAAATGAAGAACTTGGACTGATTATTGATTTAACATATACACAACGTTATTATAACCAAGAGGTAAATGGAATCCTTAATTGAAAAGAGGTGGAAGGGTACCTAACATTCTTGAAGAGATTTGTTACTCTAATCATTTATAACCCTTTAGTTGACATTTTGAAGGAGCCCTGGTGGCACTGTAGGATAAGCACTAAACTACTAGACTACAAGGTGGGCAGTTGAAACCTACCAGCTGCTCCATGGGAGAAAGATGAGGCTCTCTGTTCCTGTAAAGATTTGTTGTTGTTAAGTGTCATCAGGTCGGTTCCAACTCATAGTGGCCCGGGTTTCTGAGGAGAAGTTGGTGGGTTTGAACTGCTAGTCTTGTAGTTCACAGTCCCGTGCTGATCCTACAACGCTACTGTAAAGATTTACAGCCTCAGAAACCTGTGTAGTATTACTCTGAGTCAGAATCGACTCGATGGCAGTGATTTTGGTTTGGTTTGAGTTGCCATCGAATGGTAATGTGAAGCTGGCCTCCTTTCATGATTTGTTGTTTTTAAGTGCCTTTGAGTTGGTTCTGACTCATAGTGACCCTGTGTAAGGTTTCTGAGGATCAGCTAGTGGATTTCTGAGGAGCAGCTAGTAGAACTATTAACATGTTTCTAATTGCCATTTACAAATAAAATTGAAGATACGAATTGAATTATAATTGGCAGTAGAGTCTATATGTGTGCCTGTGTAGGATAAGCACTCAACTACAAGGTTGGCTTGAACTGTAAGGTCAGCAATTCAAATCCACCAGCCGCTCTTCGGAAACCCTATACAGAGTCGATATGAGTCAGAACCAAGTCCATGGCACTTAGCAACAACACAACAGTAAACTTCCCTAATCTGTATTCTGAAAATGAAAGCATTTTAGTAAGAATAGTAGTGACCTGAGAGGAAACAAAGGAATATCCATTATATTTTTTGCACTTGTTTCAAACAGTTGTCTGAACATGTGTAAGCATCATGATAGAAGACAGTTTTTTTTCTCTTCCTATCCTGATACCTGTTTATTAGAAGTGAACTTGTTTTCTTAATACAGAGGTTTATTATTTTGTTGGACTCCTAGTGTGGTGCTGTGGGTTAATGCACTGGACTGCAAAATTGGCAAACCACAAAGTTGGCAGTTCAAGCTCACCAGGCGCTCCTTGGAAACCCTATATAGAGTCACTATGGGTCAGAACCGACTCAAAGGCACTTAACAACAAAAACAGTATATGTTTTGGTGGCCCCTTGCATGTGACATATCAGCAGAAACAAATTATCCTTTTCAGATCAGTTCCATGGTCTTTAGAAACAATAATGTTTAATTAAATAATGTTTGTTACATTATTTATTTATAAATATTGTTAACAAACAATAGTTTGTTAATACATGTACAACAGTTTGCCTTTTAAAAAGCACTTTTACACACATTAACTTGGTTAATTCTCACAACTGTTCTGTGCTGATGAAGTGGTTGTGGTGGTGGTGGTATGCCATGCCTGCATAGGGTGTCCGAGACTGTAAATCTTTACGGGAACAGAAAGCCTTATCTTTCTCCTGGGAACCTCTGGTAATTTTGAACTGCTGTCCTTGAGATTAGCAGCCCAACTCGTAACCACTACCCTACCAGAGTTCCTTTGCTGATGAAATAGTATTAAAATCTCTGATTGGATGCTTACTAAGCTCAGAGGATTTGTTGTTGTTGTTAAGTGTCATCAAGTCAGTTTTGACTCATAGCAACCCTTTATAGGGTTTCTCAGGAGCACTTAGGTTGACTGAACCGCCGATTCAGTTGCGGTTCAAACTGATCTTGCAGTCCAGTGCATTAAACCACAGTGCTACCAGGACTCAAAGGGTTGTTATTGTTGTTGTTAAGTGCCTTCAAGTTGATTCCGACCCATAGCAACCCTGTATAGGGTTTACAAGGAGCAGCTGGTGAGCTTGAACCACTGACCTTGTGGTTCAAATGACTTTGCAGTCTGACACATTAGCCCACAGCACCACACCAGGACTCAAAGGGTAGATTATTGTAATTAGCAGTTTTACAGATGATGAGACTAAGACTCAGAAAAGGAAGAATTCAAAGTTGAACTCAGCTCTTGTTTTAAAAAGTATTAGCATAAATTTTAAATAAGTATAATACTTTTGAGTGTTAATGAACTCATCACCCATCATCCATCATCAGTATTTATTAGCTCACAGTAATTTTATTTCATCTGTACTGTACAGTTTTACACCAGTCCATATACTTTTGTGGGGGAGGAGCTCAGGGAGTTTAACCCAAAACTTTTTATTGTGAATTGAGTGAAGGTTTATAGAGCAGATCATCGGTTCCACATTGAACAAATCATGCACTTTGCTTAAGTACATGCCTGCGGTCCCTTCCATGTACCAACAGCCAACAGCAATCACCCCTATTCACCTATTATACTCCTCCCTGTGTCTCCTGCCACCTCAGTCTAGTGTCTGCTTTGTCACCCCTATCAACATGTGTCCGCCCTCCAGCCCTTGAACAGCTCTCCCTCCCACTCCCCCCCCCACGATCATATATTGTTTACCTTTTTTTGTTGTTTGAATAGTTATGTATTTGTTCACAGTTTCAAAGTAACAGTGGCGCACACCCTTCCCACCTCCCATCCCAAACCCTTCACTGATATTGAGTCTCTGTCTTGAGGCAGAAAGTTTTTTTGTTTTGTTTTTCAGTTTTTATTGTGTACTGAGTGATAGTTTACATGGGAGAATATCGGCTTTACACCATCGTTTCATTGTAGTGATTACAATCTCCTTCATGCATCATCATTCAACAGTGTTTGCTTCTATTCCCTCTATTTTGGGGGGTTTTCTTTTGCGGGGGTGTACACAAAAACACTCAGGAATATAAAATAATGTAAACAACTAAAGGGCACATTCTGCAGGCCTGCCTTCTGGCCGCCAGTTCTCAGTCCCTCTTTGCCATGAATCCAGAGTCCTCAGGTGCTCCCTCTCTCCATGTCCCCATCTAAACCTCCATCTTTGGTGGTGCTGCTTCTCTGGATAAGGTCCCACATTCCACTTGTGCGCTTCTTCCTTGATCGTCCTAGGATCCTTTGTTTTTGTTACAAAACTTCTACCTTTACAGTCTTGAGACATAAAGTTTTGAATATGCTTCTATGATTCTTCTTTTGCTTGGGTATCAGGGGCCGCTGTAGCTCACCCAGGTTGTAGTTCACCCAGGGCGTGGCTTTTAAATCTTTGGGAACAGAAAGCCTTTCGGAGTTGCTGGCAGGCTGGCTCTCATCTTTGTTGTAGAGGGCCCATGTAGTGTGTCTGCCCAGTCCACCGTCTTGCCCAAAGTCCCTCCATTCCATGGAATTTTAAGAAAAAAATCTAGTTGTATATCTAGATTTTGCTGATTGCATTCCCATGTGTTGTTAGCATATTTCTCAGACCTTTTTCTTTGTAAATTTGAAATTGAACCTAGATGTTGATCAGAATCAGTTTTTAGGGTTTGTTTATTGTCTTTTGCTTTTATCAATGTAATAACCTTCTATGTGGAAAATGGAGCCCTGGTGGTACTATAGGATAAGTACTGACCTTACTAACTACAAGGTCAGCAGTTCAAACCCACCAGCCACTCTGCAGGAGAAAGATGAGACTTTCTACTCTTGTAAAGATTTAGAGCCTTAGAAACCCTGTCTAGAGTTAGTTACTGTGAGTCAGAATCCACTCGATGGCAACGAGTTTGTTTTTTTCAGTTTAGAAAAGACACTGTTTTAGCAATGGGTACAGAACAGTCACCATTACTGTTTTGGTTCTGTCATTCTAGTCAGGGAGAGAGATAATAAGAAAATACAGAGGCCGGTAGATGGTGGTAAGTACTTTTAAGATAGTAAAGAAGGATCAAGGAATTTGGGGATGGGGAGTGGTCAGTTATGGCCTCTCTGTCATTTGAATAGAGCCTTAAAGAGCGCTTCAGAGGTGACTGTGTTTTCTCATCAGGAAGTAAACAATGAATGACTCTTGGTGATATTTGTAGTCATTGAACAGTGCTGAAACCCATTAATGTATTTAGGGCTGTGAAAGATGGCGAATTCTAGCATTGTATTTTCATTTATTAGCTGGCTGGCTCTGTGGGTTAATGTGCTGGACTGTAAACTTGGTGTAAACCCCAGGATCAGCAGTTCAAGCTCAGCAGCTGCTCCTTGGGAGCCCGATATAGTGTTGCTATGGGTCGGAGTTGAATTGACGGCACTTAACAACAACAGCTTCTTTAAAGAGAATCTTCCCATCTTCAACAATGTGGTTGCCCAGTTTTATAGTATGTCCTGGATGGTACATACAGTTAAGTGGTTAGCTACTAGTTGAAAGGTTGGTGGTTCAAACCTACCCAGAGACATTTCAGAAAACAGGATTGGTAATCTGCATCTGAAAGGTTACAGCCTAGAAAACACCTTGGAGCAATTCTTTTCTGCACACATGGGGTCACCATGAGTCAGACTCAATTTCAACTAGCAATAACAACAAATAATTTGTATGAGAAAAATATGGTTCCTTTCCCTGGAAATTTTCATGATTCAAGAGAGTGAATTGGTTCACTTAAATTCTCTAATGGTGATCAATTCTGTGTTATTTTATCCTACTTGTTTTTAGTATCAGTAAAGCTAGGCATTTTAATCCATCACAGTTACTATTCTTACTTCTAATATGATAATGGATTATCAGTAATAATGTTATGAATAATATTCACAGTATTCATTATTACTCATTAAAACTTGGACATCTCAATGCATTGCAGTTATTATTCTTAGAAAGGCTCAAACAGCCCTATTTTTGGCAAGTGGGAGCTCCTCACTGGCTTCTGAGTGCTGTTGACATGACTCCGGTAATAATCTATCACTTTTCAAAATTTTGGCTATTTATATTGAAAAACGTGATTCAGGATTATCTTGTACAGTTTCTACCCCAGTTCTGATATCAACCATTTCTCCAAGGAACCTTGCTTTCTTTTGGCATAAGTGGTATTTAGAGATTACAGTCTGAATGTATTGTTCTTCTTAAGTATTGTTAAGTGGGCTTAGACTCATAGTGACCATGTATAGAGTTTCTGAGGAGTTGCTGGGGGATTTGAACCTCTGACATTGTGCTTAGCAGTCCAGTGCTTATCCTACAGTGTTACACCTAGAAGGGTTTTAATTGCTAGTAAACCAACATTGTTTCTTTTCCTTTTTTTTTTTTTTTTTAACTTTTCATTGAGAATTGAATAAAGATTTACAGACAGGTTTTACATTCAACAAATCATACACTGTTTCCTTTCAATGATTGAATCCGCTCTGTGTAACAACAATTGAATCCCCTCGTTCAAACTCTTATATACATTCAAATAGCCTCATTCAAACTCTTATATATGTCTGTATATACATATACATATATATTGGAGTCCTGGTGTGGTGTTGTGGATTAATGTGCTGAACTGCCAAGTCACTTCGCACCACAAGGTTGGCGGTTCAACCTCACCAGCTGCTCCTATATGTTGTTGTTAAGTGCCATCAAGTTGGTTCCAACCCATAGCGACCCTGTATAGAGAGGGTTTCTGAGGAGCGGCAGTGAGCTTGAACTGCTGACCTTGCGGTTCAAAGTGACTTTGCAGTTCAGCACATTAACCCACAGCACCCCAACAGGACTCCATATATTTATATATCCCACACTTCCTCCCTTACTCATTCAGCCTTTGTCTCTGCCCATGAACAACACTTGTTCCACAGTTGTGGATATATCCCTGTGTCTTCACCTGTCTTCATCATTCTTCTGCCAACCTCTCTCTTGTATATTGCCTTCCCTGTCAACTGAGTTAACATGTATCTATCTATCCTCTAGCCAGTGAATTACTCTCCCTTCCCTCCCACCCATGGTAACCATCAAAGAATGTTTCTTCTTGATTTTTTTACATTAGTAGTTTCATACAATATTTGTCCTTTAGTGATTGATTTATTTCACTCAGCATAATGTATGGGTCGGACCCGACTCGATGGCACTTAACAACAACAACAACAACAATGTCCTCCAGATTCATTCATGTTATGAGGTATTTTCACAGATTTGTTATTCTTCAACGTTGTGTAGTATTCCATTGAATTATGTACCAAAGTTTGTTTATCCACTCTTCCATTGTTGGGCATTTAGGCTGTCTATTTTCGCTATTTGGAAATTGTGCTGCAATGGACATCGGTGTGCATATGTCTATCTGCTTGTTTCCTGGCTCTTAGTTCTTGTAGCTATATACCAAGTAGAGGGATTGCTGGATCATACAGTATTTCTATTTCCAAATGTCTGAGGAAGTGCCCATACTGTTTTCCACAATGGCCAGACCATTTTACAATGTCAGAGGGTCCCAGCAACATTGTTTCTTTCAGTCGACAAAGCTGGGATGGAATGGGGAGAGGCACAGAATAAACACACAAACACAACTATAGATATTTTTGTTGTAAAATACATCGTGGGTTTATACTGTTAACTTTCCATTTACATTCAAGACTAAAAGATTTTCACTTAACCAGCTTATTTCTGTATCTGCTTTCTGCCATTCCAATAATACTACTCTTGAGCAGTGCCTGTAACATACTGTCTCACAGTTCAAATCCAGTTCTTCTGACTCATAACTATTCTACTTCAATCACATCACCTTTATGAAGGCACTAGTCTGTGAAATCTAAACTAGCAAGTGGAATTATTTGTATTATTTAGAATTATATATGCATTAATCCACATGTACTTTGCTTTAGACCTATTGATTTTGGTGTCAGTGAAAATTAAGCAATATTGCCTCATTGAAGCAGCTTTGGAAAAAAATGGCTCTTTGATCAAAATTACTCACATACTAAAATTTTTATAATCTGCTGATTTATATTCTGGCTCTAATTAATCTTTAAATCTTTCTCTACAATGAAATAATATATATTTTCCTTGTTTTCTTTATAGGATTTACCAGAAACGATTCCTTACTTAAAACTTTTTACAGTTGGGCATCAAGTACCTGATGATGATACAATTTATAAATTCAAATGCGCTGTGAATGGGTTTCTGAGAGAAAATGCAGATAATGGTGAGTGTTTTGTTCCTTTACCTAAACTTAGATACTCATTTTGAATGGCATTGGAGATTTTTCATAGTTTGCCCCTACGCTGGTTGTGTTTGATAATGTTCAGATGAAAATGTCAGATGGTGTTAATAGGGTAAGGAGTCTTTTTCTGTTGATAGTCCAAGTAAACAATTAGTTTAAAAAGTGGTTTTTATGAGAAATGTGAAGTGAACTAGTTCACTCGTCTCTTGAAAGTAATTTCAATAGACAGTCTGACTGATTACTACAAGAATAAGCAAGTTGTGCGCCCAGTAGACATCAAGGCAACTGGTAGGTTCCCCGCAGGGCAAACCCCCTTCCAAGACTAAGTCTCTATGGGAATACACACTGACTGGTGACCACGTTCGTCACTGATAAGGGGAAGTGAGAGAAAAACA